ATGAGCAGCATGGATTTCGTGCGGGTCGTGGTACTAGCTCTAACCTCATGTGTTTTATGAATTATGCTACACAAGCCCTCGACTCGGAGGCTGGTGCCCAACTGGATATTGCCTATTTTGACTTCAAAAAGGCCTTTGACAGCGTTAATAATGACATACTGTTAACCAAATTTGCGATGGCAGGGTTCACGCCAGATTTACTCCAGTTTTTTGCGAGTTATCTCGGGAACCGAAGGCAATACGTCGACTACTGTGGACATGTATCAGACCAATATCGCACGCTATCTGGTGTAAGCCAGGGTAGCAACCTTGGGCCATTAGAATTTATTCTAATGATTAATGATCTACCAGAGGTGGTCCAGAATGCGTGTTGTTTGCTCTTTGCTGATGACTTAAAGCTTTTTCTACGTGTGGTCGATAAAGAGGATTGTAAGCGCCTACAAAATGACATTGATCTGGTAATTGATTGGAGTCGGAAAAACAAACTCTTCTTCAATGTCAACAAGTGCAATATAATGTCTTGCACGCGTGCCATGTCTCCGGTGCATCATCGATACCACATGGAAGACAGTGTCATGCCTCGTGTTGAATCGGTCCGGGATTTGGGAGTGCTTATGACCAAAGATTTGTCATTCAGGGAGCATATCGCGAAGGTTTGCTCTAAAGCTTACAGAAGTTTGGGTTTTGTAATGAGAGAGACAAAGGATTTTAAAAGTATAGCAACAATAAAAATATTATACAATGCTTTGGTTAGGAGTCAATTAGAGACGAGTGCTATAATCTGGAACCCCCATGAGATGAAATACAGCCTCATGGTGGAGAAGATGCAAAACAAGTTTACTCGGTACCTGTACCTAAAACAATATGGAGTGTACCCGTATTACCCACTCATGTATCCTTCTCTGTTTGTTATTGGCATGGTGGGATACTATAAGCTGGAGGTCAGGCGAGAGGTTGCACTCGCAAAGTACGTGTTTGAGGTTTTCCGGGGTAAGCAGAACAATCCATCCATACTGGCTTCGTTGAGGTTGCTCGTCCCAAATACAAAGCTAAGGCTGAGCCCGAGGCAGAGACTATTTGAGGTCCCAACCAGTCGCACTAACATAGGTCGATATGCTCCTGTGGCTAGAGCTATTAAAATAATTAACAGAGTTGGACAAAAGGTTGATATTTTCTGTTGCTCATTGGCGGAGTTCATAAAGGTAACGACTGATGTTGTTAGTTGTACATATGTAGTTAATGGATAAGTACATAGTTGTTATAAGTTTTTATATTAAGTTTTTATTTAAGTTTTTTTTTTATTAATACTAATTATAAGTTTTTACATTAAGTGACAACATTATCGCATTGGGTGTAACCTGTTAGGATGTGTTGAATTAAATAAAAATAAATAAATAAATAAATAACTATGTAACAGATTTATCTCTTCTTTCCAAAAAAAGCCCCTACAAAAAGTTGTCACACCTTACCACCAGGTGTCACTAGTGACGTTTGAGGTCTGAAGTCGTCACAAACACGGTAGACATAGACAGTGCTATTATTATAATATAATAATAAGCAACTATTTCAATATAACCTATTGACCGTTATTGTTCCGTTTGACAATATTCTCTGTTTGCAAAAACAGTGTTACAAACATGCACAGCTATTTAATTTATTTATAAAACTCTTTTGACTTTTGCAAGAGGAAAACAATTATAGAATTTTCTAGATTTGTGTGGTTAATATTTTTAGATTTGTACCTCTTGCCCTACGGTTGTCCTTTGAGGAATTATAGTTCAACGTCCCATCTTTATGGGTATCAAAATTCGTTATAATTTTATAGTGATACCATATATTTTATGATTATAAAGATCATTAATAGAACTGACTCCCTCTTTGATCGAGTTCGAGTGGTCAGAAAATAAACCATGGTCTTGAATCGTGCAAAGTGTCAACACACTTTGTCCGATTCAAGACCCTTTTTTGGAATACCGAAACAACCCATTGGGGTTTCAGTATTCCAAAAAATCTTAGTAAATACCTTTTTTATTATTTTGTTTATTAGATTTTTTTTGTCTATTCAAAATTCTGTTATCATCGTATTATTATTTTGTTATATTGTGATGTTTTCTGTTTGTTTATATATATGTATTTTTATTTTTTTATATTCTTTGTTTTCTGTGCGTGTAATTGCCAAATAAATGTTTTTTCTTTCTTTCTTTCTTTCTTTACCTACCTAATCAATCATGGATCCAGGAATTGTGTTATTCTGATGTATGACCTACATTACTGTTAAGTTTCATCTAAATCTGATCAGTAGTTTTTGCGTGAACCAGTAACAAACACTTCCACACACATACATCCTCACAAACTTTCGCATTTATAATATTAGTAGGATTGTTAAATTGTATTATGTGCATCTCCAACACCTCTATTTAAACTCTGTAACCGCTTTAACAAATAAACACTGGGACAATGAACATCACGCCTATGGAAAGCAATACCATGACTAAAAGAATCGAAACTCAAAAAAACCAATAAACCAGGGATAGTACCGGAGGCCTAATGTTGTCGTCAACCACATGAATGCCTATTAGATAAAGAATTAGTAAAACACGTATTGATAAACAGAAACCACAGAATGCAGGTGTGCTGAAGAACGTGACATTTTAATTACTATTGAGATAATTTAAATGAAAGCTATTAATAGAGTTAACGAGAATATGCATAAAACCACATCTTGCCTTCATTTACCGAAGTAGGTAATCGATAGTATAAGTGCACATAATTATTACGTAGAAACTACTTCTATAGGTATATGAACCTCATATGGCAAAAAGTATTGCTAGATATTACAACAGACTATACTACAAAAGTTAGTTTTTTTTCTTCTGTATATTATACATATATTTCTATGTATTATATAATATAATATCTTCTGATTAATTTCGTTCATGTCCCTGAGACGCGCCGGACTTCAGTGTTCCGGTGTCTTCATGCTTGTATCTACTATAGATCCGGGCTTACAGGAGTAGCAGCCGTTTTGGGAGGTTGCGGTGTACTGGTCCCATAAAAAGACAACACTACAAGAAATTCCATACATCTTAGATAGGTACTGTTACAGAGAAAATGAAAACCAAAAAGAAAACAATAATATAAGCCCGAGGAATAAACTTAAACCTCTTACTTGGTGATCGCATTAATTCGACGAACAACAAAACAGTTAGTCATGTATTTGTGTAGAAAAACCATATAACGAATACAGGTCCAACCGTCCAATCTATCAAGAACAAGCCATTTCATAACCATTAAAACAATTTAGATGATGGCTATGGAATGGAGTTATCAAGAAAATTGAATATATTACATAAATTAAGATAAAATAATGATAACAACGGGTTTTCTGTTTTCCCACAGTTATAAAATTTTACAACAGTTGAAAGTTGACAAAAATATCCATTTGAATTTCCATAAAATATGTCACGTCGATGAAGGGAAAACTTTTTGTTTCGTAACATAAGTTGATATTTAACTCGTTGAGTACCGTCATTATAGACACAATTATAGAACAATAGGTTGCGGTCACCGGTGACCGCTTGGTGTTTGACAGTATGTTGTAAAGAACTGAACTTAAAATGAAATGTGAGTCTGAAAACACCAACATCTTTAACGAGAGTTACTGAATCCTCACCCGATTGGGTAAAGCCTTTTTCTAGTAGTTTAACAGTAGCTGGTATACATAACATAATATCACGCCTTTTTTCCCCAAAGGTGTAGGCAGAGGTGCACATTAAGCCACTGTACAATGTAACACACA